GCAGAAACAGGGCAGGGAGCTGGGATGAGGTGCCCCAAATCCGTAGGGAAGCCACCAAGATGTCCATCAAGGTGGACAATCGAGGTGTGTCCTGTCCCTTCCTGGGAACCTCTGCCACATTTCTCCAGGATGGAACACCAAGGATGGGATTTCTGAGCAGAAACAGGGTAGGGAGCTGGGATGAGGTGCCCAAAATCCATAGGAAAGCCATCAAGATGTTTGTCCTGTCCCTTCCCGGGAACCTCTGCCAGGTGGCTCCAGGATGGGACTTCCAGGATGGGACTTCCAGGATGGGACACCAAGGATTGGATTTCCGAGCAGAAACAGGGCAGGGAGCTGGGATGAGGTGCCCAAAATCCATAGGAAAGCCATCAAGATGTTTGTCCTGTCCCTTCCCGGGAACCTCTGCCAGGTGGCTCCAGGATGGGACTTCCAGGATGGGACTTCCAGGATGGGACTTCCAGGATGGGACACCAAGGATTGGATTTCCGAGCAGAAACAGGGCAGGGAGCTGGGATGAGGTGCCCCAAATCCATGGGAAAGCCATCAAGGTGTGTCCTGTCCCTTCCCAGGAACCTCTGCCAGATGGTTCCAGGATGAGACACCAAGGACGAGACACCAAAGATGGGACACCCAGGATGGGACATCCAGGGTGGGACACCCAAGCACAAATAGGTGCCCAAAATCCATGGGAAAGCCATCAAGGTGTGTCCTGTCCCTTCCCAGGAACCTCTGCCAGATGTCTCCAGGATGGAACATCCAGGATGGAACACCAAGGATGGGATTTCTGAGCAGAAATTGGGCAGGGAGCTCGGATGAGGTGCCCAAAATCCATAGGAAAGCCATCAAGGTGTGTCCTGTCCCTTCCCGGGAACCTCTGCCAAGTGGCTCCAGGATGGGACTTCCAGGATGGGACACCCAGGGTGGAATGCCCAGGACAGGTCCCACGAGCTCCCAAGGGTGCCACGCCCACCCCCTCAACCCTCTCCTACCTCTCCGGGGTGGAGGTGAGCCGGTGAGGGATTTTTTCCCGGGAAACCACCGGCCGGATCCCTCTGGATGCCACCAGCCGCTGCCCTGCAGGACAACGGGAGGGTGGGAGAGGGCAGAGCACCCCCGGGGTGGTGTGTCCCCATCCAGGCGTCCCCACACCCGTCCCCACCTGCCACAGCAAGGACGAGGAGAGCGGAGAGCTCCGGGATTCCGAGGGCGCGGGAAGCCAGGAAAAGGAGGAGGAGGAGGATCACCCAGAGCAGCGCCAGCACCAGGAGAAGAACCAGCAGCGCCGAGTAGGAGCCGGGGGGGATGAAGGTGGAAGTGGCACTTGGGCTCTGACCTGTGGGATGGGATGGAAAAACCTGGAATTGGCACCCACCGGCTCCCATCCGCGCTCCAGCCCCTATTCCCGCTCACCATCCGGGTTGGGAACGGCCTTGAGGCGCTCCAGGTGGTTTTCCAGCCGGCTCCGTGTGTCCTCCAAGGCCTCCAGCATCAGCTCCAGGCTCTGGTTGAGCCTCTGCAGCTTCTCCATCACCTCCCGAAGGACCAGGGCACTCTCTGCGGGTGGGAAAAGATGGATACGGTGGTGGGATGAGCCTGGGAAAGTGAAAAAAGCTGGGAATGGGGTTTGCTGGGTTCCCACCTCGTCGGGGATAAACATCCCGAGGTCTTTCCTGCTCCTGAGGGAGGTGGGATGGGAAAACCCGGTGTCCTTCCCGGAGCTCTGCGGCCCCCTGGCTGCTCCCGTTCCCTGTGGAGGAGGGATAAGAGGTTGGATCAATCCCAAGGTGGGACAGGGGGATTCTCAGCATCCTTGGATCAATCCCAAACCCAGGGGGATGTCTCAGCATCCTTGGATCAATCCCAAACCCAGGGGGATGTCTCAGCATCCTTGGATCAATCCCAAACCCAGGGGGATGTCTCAGCATCCTTGGATCAATCCCAAGGTGGGACAGGGGGATGTCTCAGCATTCCTTGGATGAATCCCAAGGCAGGGGATGTCTCAGCATCCTTGGATCAATCCCAAAGTGGGATACAGGGATGTCTCAGCATCCTTGGATCAATCCCAAGGTGGGATATGGGGATGTCTCAGCATCCTTGGATCAATCCCAAAGTGGGACAGGGGGATCCTCAACATCCCTGGATCAATCCCAAGGTGAGACAGGGGGATGTCTCAGCATGTCTGGATTAATCCCAAAGTGGGATATGGGGAATTCTCAACATCTTTGGATCAATCCCAAGGTGGGGGATGTCTCAGCATTCCAGAGCCGGCTCGTACCCATCCGGTGGGCGACGTCCTCCAGGAGCTGGACCACAGGGGTCTCATCCAGCGCCAGCCTCATCCAGGTCTCCCACAGCTCCTCCTGTGGGGAATATTCAGGAAGTTGGTGACAGAGGGTGACCCAAACCCCTCATCCCCCAGGGAGGTGCCCACAGACACCCCAAAACAAGCCCTCAGCCCCCCGGGGTGCTCCCAGTGCAGGGTGGGAGCCCAGAGAGGGGGGAATTTGGGGTGAAAGGGATGAAAAAAGAGTGCGAGGACCCCTCCAGAACTTGACCTTCCCCCCCACACCGAGCAAGGTCCCGGGGACCCCCATTTCCCAGCTGGGGGGGGGGGTCCCACCCTGGATGGTGACAGGAGTCCAGGGGTGACACCTCCCGGGCTGGGGCTTCATCCTGGCACTGGTTGTCACCCGTGGTGTCTTGAGGGGGTCCCCAGTTCCCTGGGGGAGGGTCCCCACCTCCTCTGAGGGGGCAGCGAGGCCCAGCCCCCCCAAAATCCCGGCGCAGAGGAGCAGCAGAGCCCGGGAGCTCCAGGGCAGCATCGTGGGAATGGGGGGGTCCTGTGGGGAAAAGAAGGTTGGGAGAAGCCCCTCAGATCCAGGGACAAATTTTGAGACCCCCCACCTCAAATTTGGGGGACCAATCCCACTGAGGGGACCCTCCCATAGTCCCAGGGGTGCCCAAGGGGGTCCTATAGGGAGAAGAGGGTGGGAAACACCCCCCTAAATCGATGGACCCACCCCACAGAGGGGACCCCCCCATAGTCCCAGGGGTGCTGTAGGGGGTCCTATAGGGAGAAGAGGGTGGGAAACCCCCCCCCCAAGCCCATGGACAAACTGTGGGACCCCCGTCCCAAATTTGGGGGTCCCCCCATAGTCCCAGAGGTGCCGGCGGCGTCCCATGGGGAGAAGAGGGTAGGAATCCCCCCTGCGCCCACGGACGAACTGTGGGACCCCCGTCCCAAATTTAGGGGACCCCCCCATAGTCCCAGGGGTGCCCATGGGGGTCCAATGGGAAGAAGAGGGTGGAAAACAGCCCCTCAAATCGATGGACCCACCCCACTGAGGGGACCGCCCCATAGTCCCAGGGGTGCCCGTAGGGGGTCCTATAGGGAGAAGAGGGTGGGAACCCCCCCCTGCGCCCACGGACGAACTGTGGGACCCTCCCCAAATGTGGGGTATCCCCCATAGTCCCAGGGGTGCTCATGGGGGTCCAGTGGGAAGAAGAAGGTGGAAAACATCGCCCCAAATCGATGGACCCACCCCACTGAGGGGACCGCCCCATAGTCCCAGGGGTGCCCATGGGGGACCCGTGGGGAGAAGAGGGTGGGAACCCCCCCCTGCGCCCACGGACGAACTGTGGGACCCCTGTCCCAAATTTAGGGGACCCCCCCATAGTCCCAGGGGTGCCCACGGGGGTCCAATGGGAAGAAGAGGGTGGAAAACAGCCCCTCAAATCGATGGACCCACCCCACTGAGGGGACTGCCCCATAGTCCCAGGGGTGCCCATAGGGGGTCCTATAGGGAGAAGAGGGTGGGAACCCCCCCCCTGCGCCCACGGACGAACTGTGGGATCCTCCCCAAATGTGGGGCATCCCCCATAGTCCCAGGGGTGCTCATGGGGGTCCAATGGGAAGAAGGTGGAAAACATCGCCCCAAATCGATGGACCCACCCCACTAAGGGGACCGCCCCATAGTCCCAGGGGTGCCCATGGGGGACCCGTGGGGAGAAGAGGGTGGGAACCCCCCCCTGCGCCCACGGAC